GATTGTCCGCAAGAATGAAACCTCCTGCATTCGCGTTCAGAAACCGTCGACAAAATGTGCCCACGCACACACTATTTCGAGTGGCCAAGATTATGTAACGAAGAAGAGGAATCGTAGGAGAATGCTCGCGAGAAGACGAGGCGCCACGGTTTCCGAAATTACCACCCGCGACGAGATCTCTCTTCGAGCACAATTCAGGACTGCGGTCCGATGAATAAATACGACACTGTTAGTAATTGACGATGATAATATATTTAATTATGAAAAGAGAAGATAATATAAGTTTAATATATAATTATACATGGTGTCCCAAAAATATTGTAACACCTTGAAAGAGGTGGTTCGGGAGGTGATTTGAAACAACTTTTTCCTTAGCGAAAATGTTGTCCGAGGCTTCGTTGAGGAGATATTAAAGGAAAACACTGACCAATCAGAGCGCGAGGATGCCGATGGAGCGCCCGCGGTAGGCGTGGCTACGCGCTAGACGGCCGCGCTCATACGCTATCGCGAGCGCTCCATCGGCATACTCGCGCTCTGATTGGTCAGTGTTTTCCGTTAATATCTCCTCAACGAATCCTCGGACAATATTTTCGATAAGGAAAAAGTTGTTTCAAATCACCTCCCGAATCACCCATTTCAAAGAACTACAACATTTTTGGGGCACCCTGTATAGCAGGATAGTTCGGATTGACCGCGTGGCGACCTTACTTGTTGTTGTATCGATTCGGTCGATACGAACTGCAAACGACGATCGTGCGTACACGTGCGCGGCACAAGGACGAAGAGAGCCACCGACAGATACGCTTCCAGAGTATTCAGCGAACTTAGGGTAAACAGCTTGATTGAATGGAACCTAGCAGGTTCTATTATACTTAGCTCTGCTTGTGGGAGAGAAGCTTCCTTATCGAGGCCTTGGACTCCGAAGAACCTATTAATATTAAATAGAATCCCTTAGAATTTCGAGGCACTTGAATGCAGATCATATAAAATATTTTATTTTTGGCGTTTAAGCGTGAATAAGTGAAAAGTATTTTCTAATTTATTTGTTCTAATTTATTTGTTCCTCGCAAATGTCGAATAATTCGCAATAAGAGGGACCAGAAAGTAATGTCGTTTCATCGCGAATGCAAATACTTGTTTATTATTTACCAGCTCACTGTGTACCAATCAATTTTTGTCGAACAGATATTGAAAATTTTCACGCTAGATAACAAAAGGTTGTTGATAACGAGGGTGATTACATTATCGATTAAAAATAAAAACTTGTTATAAATGTATTTGTTTGAATTTAATGTAAAAGATGCGACATTACTTTCTGGCGCCCCTAATACATGACCCAAAAAGGAATTCTGCTCTACTGGAAGGGAATCGAGCAACATTCTCCTGCAATTGTTTATGAATTATAATGTTTCATAGGGAGCGTAGATAATTCAGGCTGTGTTACAATAAAATAGTTCGACGTTCACCGGGGTGTTTTGTTCGTGGACATAATGGGCGGTTCGTTAACTGTGTCACGTCGCTGGTAACGTCGAAGAAGCGAAACCCATTCGGATAACCGTTGCAGAAGGGATTACACGAGAGGATTGTTCAGTCGTGACTGAATTAAATTGCCTAGCAGCCCGTGAAACGGCGCCCTTTGTTTTTCATTGTCCACTTCATTCTATTTCGAACTTACCCGTGCAAACCAGTGGCAGAGAACGATAGCGATACGCGTGCTACATAATACTTTCTCTACAATTATGTATATTATATCAGAATTATTATAACACATTTATGAAATAAGATGCAGATTCTCGTATCTCTTGGCAATTCCAAAGGTGACTCGAAGCAGCCTAGTCGAAACGTTTAACATTTTCTTTACGGCTAATTTTATAACTAAGTGTTTACTTTAGATTTCATTTGTTTATTTCTCATTTTACCGTGCCTAAATCATAGGATTCTTACAGCTATCACCAACGACTAATAATATGATTGGATATTCCAATGACCAAAGTCCGGGTGCCTTATATTACCACTTTACCGACCGGTAACTGTTTAATCGGTTCCTATGGTAACTACCAAGTACTTGTTACTTTGAATTGAGATACTAGTTGCTTTGCTTTGTATGCTCCCATATTTTTATATACCAGCAAGTTTTTATTACTTTGAATTGAGATACTAGTTACTTTACTCTGTAACATATTTTTATACATTTTCCGGTGCCAGGAAGGGTATAGGATGTTGAACCGTTACCGGTCGGTAAAGTGTTACTTTACCGATAGGAATCTCATATTCCTATCTTCCCTTCTTCCATATTTTACACTGTAGGATATATCGATGTAAATCGGCACATGCAGTGCCCTCTCCCGAGTACACATTTACGCATATGTATCGATTAAACATAAGAATCACGTTATACAGTGACGTCACAGTGCAACACGAACCGTTTATTGTCGCCGTGCAGTACGGAACAGTACGAAACCATACGAAACGTAACGTACACGAATAAAGCGTTATTGTTATCAATAACCCAGTAAAATTACTCATTCCGCGCTTAATCTTGACATATAGAATGGATGAACGTTATTCCTCGACACTAAGAAGCTTATGAAACTTCTTTTCCCATTCATAATCGAGGGCAAAATATTGCCGTGGAAAAGACAGATCTCGTTGGTCAACTGCCAACTCGATTTTGCAAAACTTTCCTCGGATAACGTTCCCTGCATATCCCAGAAACGATTCAAACGTTCGAAATACCTGCGCCGACTCCATTCTTACGATCTGTTCTTCAGTTTACTGGCGGATGCACATTTCGCCTTTGTTTCGTGGACGAGTCACAAAGCGTGTCGCCAGTGTCGAGTAAAAGAAAAATCTCGGTCTAGATAGAAACAAAAAGACATCGCCCAGGTCGACGAATTGGGACTCTTTGCATTTGAAATTGTCCTCGTTGCGACGTGTCCTTCTTTGATTCGCGAATTCCGCTGTTCGTTGAAACGAATGTGTTCTCGACAGTTCCGGGACGTTAATGGCGCAATTGGTACACGTTAGTCGTCTCTGTACAAATTTTGATTGTCATAAATAACGGAATAGGGGGAAATAATTTATTTAAAATTTTTTTTTTTTTCTTTCCTGTGACGAAGACATTTCTATCATTTTCATTATTCTACATGAAACTAGAAACGAGATTAAGAAAGATATAGCGAAAGAAAATAAAGAAAAGGCAAGAAAGTTGAACAAAGACGTACGTAAATATGCTACAATAATATGATACTTTGAATTTCTTTGTTCTTCGATATTGCGTCATTTAAACTTCACCCTTTACGTATGCCTTTAGCAACGTCTTCCACTTTGAGAGACTCGATACTTTACATCGGAAAACGTTCCAGCGGAAACACTTACAGCGAACAGCTCGCGAAAATTTATTGGAACAAAAGTTAATGGAGCATAATGGCAAACTCGAAGAGGATAGAATAAACTTTTAGCAAAGTTCTGCGTTCGCTACGCACGATAAACGAACGAGGAAATTAGATCGATAAAGGGCATTCGGTTAGGTATTAAATCAGTTCCACCCCATCCCTTGAGTTGTTTAAACGGTGCGTTCTCCCGGTGGAAGCTTCGACGATTTATGGAAAAGAATTAATTCTCGCTAACGGATTAAACAACTTTCCGTACCAATTTCCTAGACAGAGATTTTCCAGGCTAGAAAATATGGCGTCGTTTACACGCTTCTTTTGTTATCTGTTTGCCTTCTGTCGAAATGAAGTATATTTATTACTGTATCGTTGAAAAATTCTTTTCGTACCGGTTAGGATGCTGTGCTTTCGATTTATTTTCAGAATTGTGAAGCTATTGTCGCGCAACTTTAAACGAATACCAGCAAGACCCAAGCGAGGTCGCTTAAAAATGGTGTAGCGATCGAAATTGGAGAGGAAAATCGATACCGAATACGACCCACAAATTGAAATGGAAGAGGAGAATAGGAAGACGAAAATTGTCTGCTTCGAGAAATTTCTCGGCACAATGAAACTTGTACTTTTGCATGGGAGAGCCGAAGATAGACGTCGCGAATTGGAAAATGAAGTTATGCTGGAAACGGTCGGCGATGAATTCGTGGCATGCGCGGCAATACGAACGATGGAAACGATGATGGAAATTGGGGGACGATAAAAGGGGCGCAGTGGGTGATTCCGGAGCGTCAATTTCCTGGCGTGACACTTTAGGGTAGCGTGGTGCGAAGCGATTACGCTTTGTTGCAAATTAATTCGACTCATTCGCGTTGCGATTGTCATCCATTTTCGTCAATCGGAGATATTTCAGAAAATAATTGTCGAATATTTCTGGAATCTTTTTATTCTTAGATTTTTAATATTAAGTGTTGACGTGGAATAATATTGTTTCCTGCAGCTATAAAAATACTGTAATAGTTTGAATAGTTTTTAACTTGTCTAATATTTGAAGGTTTACCAAGTGTTGCAGTGCAATAATAACGTTCCCAGCAGCCATAAAAATATTGTAATAGTTTGAATATTTTTTAACTTGTCTAATATTTAGATTTTGAAGATTTATTAAGTGTCGCAGCGCAATGATATTACTCGCCGCAACTCGAAAAAATACTACTTGTTACTTTTGGCTCGCTAAAAGAATGTAAAAACTGAAAATTGACATTCCATTTCGCTTTGTAATAGAGCCAACGAAAGGCCAAGCGACCCCCAAAAATCGTGCCCTACACCCAAAATCTTCTCACAAATGTCTGTTATCGATTTAAAAATATAAATTCGTTTCCTTCGAATCAGTTCTAAATCGTCCTCCATTACCTCGACGTTTGCGTCCGAGACGAGGGTGCCTGAAAAGCAGAGAGCCGAGAAACACAGGCAATATCGTCTCGAGCACCCCGCGGGCCACTTACCACGTTCGTAAGTGGTCGCGGAGTGCCGGATTGAGCGCCTAGCCCACCGATCGCGATTCCGTGTCCCGGTACGTGGCTGTCGAAGGTATTGCGGTGTCTGCAGGCGCGGCACCGCGTCGCCTAAGCGTCGTCGAGCGCGGTGGTTGCGCGCGATTCGGCCACGCTCGATACCCGCTGCGGCAAAAGCGTCTGGTCCCGCTGGTAGCGGGCTCGACGGCCGTCGGTGGTGGGAGCAGCCTCTGTTTTATTTCTGTCACGCTTGTCCCTCTGCACCAGGGCCAGAAAAGACGCAATCGTGCAGAGCGCGAGCGCGGCATTCGCCGACCTCACCGTTCGTTCATCGGTTTCGCGGACTCGGGTGCTTTCACGGTTGATACCATCCGCGGACGCGATCCCTCCGAGTGTTTCCACGATGGAGGACAGCTACACGGTCCACAGACGCCGGAAGGCGGCGGCCAGGAGCCGCGAGAAGACCCCCGACCCTTCCTCGAGGAACCAACAGCTGGTGGAGACCTCGGACGACGAGGAGGTGGCCAGACGCGCCAGAATGGAGAAGATGGCGGACGACGCCGAGCGCGCCGAGCAAGAAGAGAAACGGAAGAAGGCGGAGGAGATGGTCCGCGAGGAAACGAAGAAGGAAGAGTCCCGCAAGAGGGAGGAGAAGAGGAGCACGTCGAATTTGGACGAGTCGCGGAGGACGAGCTACGACGAGAAGACCTCGCATTCCAGCAGCCCCCAAACACGTGACATCGACGCTCGCGAAGAGCCAGCGACGCCTGGCAGGAAGCCTCCGCGCACGGTAAGGAAGGAACCGAAAGCAGAGGACTCGAAGACCGGCCAAGAGCAACGACCCGCGAGCGAAGACGCGCAGCAGATCGTTCCGTCCAAGTCCAGAGAGATCGATGCGACCGCGGAGCGAACGGAGCCCAGGAAGGCGGAGAGACGGCTGAAGAAGAAGTCGAGGGAGAGGGCGGAGCGTCCCAGTCAGTCCACCGACTCCAGCGACCCGGACGAGAACCTGGAGAGACACCAGAGGAGGACCAAGTCGCCCGAAGGCAGCAAGGTTCGCGTGAAAAAGCCCCCAGCTAAAAGAGTCGACCCTGACGCTGCTAAGAAAGACGTCGAGAGACCGCCGCGGGAAAAGAGGCCGAGTAAACAGAAGCTCGAGGAGACCGACCAACCAAGGCCGGAGAGGAGACGATCCGTGAGGCTCAGTCAGACGGACGACACCGACGAGGATCCGAAAATGAAGAAAAGCGAGACGTTCCCACGACAGAACGTCGAGGAACCAGCCATGAAGAGGTCAGCTACCGAGGTAAAGAAACAGATCATTCCTCTTAGCAACGAGTCTCTCATCGAGGACTTCGCCAAGGCTCAGAGGGAGTACCTGAAAAGGGAGCAGAGCATCCTGGATCCGGACACTCCAGACGTCTACGAGGACGCCGAGGAAGAGGCTACGCTGAGGAGGAGGAAGTTCAGCGTGCTTCTCACGGAGAGCGAGCAGGAAGGAATCGAGAGGTCCATCGAGGAGGCGAAGAAGGTTCAGAAGAGATCGTGGTTCTCCTGGATGCCATTCTCCCGCAAGGAGAAGGTCGAGGAGCCACGTTCGGAACCCGAACCACTTAAACAGACGGAGCCCGAGGTCGTAGAAGTTACAGAGTCGGAGAAGGTCACCTTCGTGGACTTCTTAAGGGCTCTCAAGGACGTGGTCTCGGAGTTCAAGGCCTTCGTGGCCCAGAACCCGCGGGAAACGAGGATCATGAGGAGCCTAAGGAATCGCTGCTTGTCGGAGCTGATGCTGGTGATCATCTACTGCGGCCTGGGCGCGTTCGTCTTCAGGTTCACCGAGGGAGCCTTCGAGACTTTTTACAAATGCGGCGTGAAGAGGGTGAAGAGAGACTTTCTGGACAGCCTGTGGAATTACAGCCACAATTTGAGGGAGGACGACTGGAAGAGCATGGCGAGGAAGAAGCTGATGGAGTTCGAGGAACAGCTGCACACTGCTCACGAGGCCGGCGTGCAGACGTACAGCGGACAGAGGAGCTGGACGTTCCTGAACGCTGTCGTCTACTGCTTGACCGTAATCACGACCATCGGTGAGGGAACGCGACTGGGGGCTAACGATGTTCGAGTTTTAGAGGGTTTGGGTCGATGTAGTTGCCGTAAAAACGTTTTACGAGACCAGTATTGATTTTCCAAGAGGGAAATACAGTCGTGTCCTGATGCTGATCACGGTACAGTAGTCGTTCGCTGGCTGCGCGCGCAGCTGCGAGGGAAACCGTGGGGAAGATACTTCGAAATCGAAACGTTTGTATGGCAATCGTTTGGCCTTTGCAGGGTTGGCTTTTTAAAAATAGAATCTTATACCTGTACCTGTTGTTACCTGTTTTGGTAAATGTTATAAATGAACCTAGAAACATTCGATCAAAGTAGGAATTTATTTTACTGTACAAGTATCAGAATATGAACTTTAGTTTCAGTATTTTTTTGTATTATCGCATATTGTGTAGGATTTACTGAAAACTTCGCGTTAATGATAAGCAGGAGTTTTAATTTTCAACGAGTCTACAAAATTACCTTAATCCTTGGCCATTATGAGATTTAATTAGGGGTAGTTATATAATCACTTCAACCGGTTTAACTGCGATTAAAATTACAAATCTCGTTGAAACAAGACTCCTGGTTGGGAACATTAATTGCTGGTTATTAGCGTGATTGACGTCGAAGCCTCGTTTCGGGTAAAAATTGCTCACGCAGCTGGTCAACCCTAACCAAATTTGTTTCGATCAATGGGATGCCAGTTACGTCCCGTTATCAGGAAACCGAGGTTGCTTTGCGACAAAACAATCTCTAACATGTGCCACTAAAGCGCCTAAAATTAGACCGTACTCTGTACTTAGCGTTTGTGAATTTATTTTGAGATGCAACATCAAGATGCAACTTTTTAGTGTATGGCAGACGACCACCTCATTATTAGAGCCTTATTAGTCTAATTTATAAATGGTGAATAATTATGGTACAATTAATAATTAATAATTGTTTGACGTTATTTCAGGATACGGGCACATATCACCTAGCACAAGCACCGGAAGAGCCATCACAATCGTTTACGCCATCTTCGGTATTCCAATGTTTCTGATAATACTGGCTGATTTCGGAAAACTGTTCACGAGGGGTATAAAGTTCCTGTGGGCGTTCGTCAGGAGGCTGTACTACACAGGAAGCTGTCGAAAAGTCCGTCGAACTGTACCTGTACAGGTAAGAGGACCTCCAAATTAATTCGTAATACCCCAAATTAATCTATAAAAATTAATTGGAAAATGATTAATCGTAACCGTAGGAAGTGATGAAGGGCGTTCAACTCGTGTACGACCTAGCAACGTTCAAGAGGCCGTCGCAGATAAATCCGGAGGACATCGAAGAGATGCAAAAGCAAGCGCAATCCCAAGCGGTCCTGAACTTGGACGGAAATGTCCCCGACACGCCAGTAACGCCAGCGATGTCGACCTTCGCCATCGACGACGAGTTCAATCTGCCCATCTCTTTGGCCATCTTCATTCTCCTCAGCTACATTTTCATCGGCGCGACATTGTTCTGCTTGTCGGAGGGTTGGGGCTTCTTCGAGAGCTTCTACTTCGTCTTCATCTCCATGAGCACTATCGGTTTCGGCGATTACGTGCCAAAGGTGACCAATCGTCTTCAATCCGTGCTACACCTTTGTCTCGACTTCATTTCTGCGCTCCTTTTAGATATCAGATCGATTACACTTGAAAATGTTGTGTTCTGTCGTGCAAAAATTCATTGTGCCGATTATTGTACGCAATCGAGTCCAAGTTATGAATATAAAACATATTTTTGATGTTATCTGAAAATGAACATAAAATAACAGCTGACTCGAGACACGCGATTAGAGTTGAATTTAACGCAAAATTTTCAACAGTGTAGTCACTATCGTAGATTCAAAGCATTTTCATTTTAATTTGTTCAGCATAAAGCTCTCGAGACGCGGAACGAACGTTGGAAGAACTTTGCATTTCGTTTGCCATTAGCCTTTGCTTTAGATCCGTTCGAATACTCCCTCCTCCCACTACTCTCCCCAAAAAATCCTCGTGAGCATTATCGACGTACGATTAACTTATCTGCTTGCTTTTTTTCACGGTGGCGCTCAGATGGTAAGCTTTGAAAAACCAAACGTTCATCACAAAAATGTAAAAAATAAGACAGAAACAAATGTACATCACCGTATTACACTATTTCGTACGTGCTTTTCGCATAAGTCTCACTCAGCACAGTTGCACGTGTTTTCTTAGCGACATTTAAATCCGCGCGATGCGGATTCGCGCGTAAAATGACGCGCAAGACATTAACAGATTGATTGGTTGGTTGATCTAGCATCCCATATACATGATGTGTTCGATAATATACCTGGTGTTCGGGCTGGCGCTCACGTCCATGTGCATCAACGTCGTGCAGGTGACCACTTGAAACATTCCAAGTATCTAGAATGATTTGGTAGCGTTAGAGGTCTCATTTCTCGTGATTGATGATATGCTGCCTCAGCATAAGAGGACGTCTCATAAGTTTAATCCTCAGTGAACTTGAAATTGTTATTAATTTATTAGAACTGGTATAGAAACGAGGCCTTTTCAATTCTCGAAATCTTTATTCATTCAGTCAGATTAAGATACAACGTAAGACTTAATTCTATTCATCGTTTCCCATACTAATCGGTCTGATCGATGCACCAGGTGATGCTATCAGACTCGTTCAGACAAGCAAGCCAGAAGATAGGAGCGACGATCGGTTTCGCGATCGCTGAAGAGGATGGAACCATTAACCCAGCAGCCCCACCGCCAGTCGAGTTGGCCGACGTTCACACCAGCATAAAAGAGTCTGAGAGTGCCGAAAAGATCGCGCCTACGGCTAAGCAAGAGGACGTCGATCTATAGACGAGCCATCGAGTTTTTCGCTGATCCATCGCAACAAGAACGAACGATACGTGCGTGTTAGCCTTAAATTGTAATCGTCCGCCCCACTAAAAAGGACTCACGCGTTAAAAATGTGCTACATTCAATCGAACGAAAGTATCTACGCGCACAAAAGTGTATCGAAGTAGACTGCGAAGCATCGAGATCGGTGTTTGAATTTCGTTAGCTCTGTCGTGGCTGTTTCCCTCAAAGGAAACGGCTGTCGTGTTTTCACGCTTCTCGTGGAACATGCGGGAGTCAGTTGTTACCTCTTTGCAGCACAATGATTTGTATAATCTTGAGACTTTCTGTGAGGATAGAGAATCCACAAAAAATGAAAGTGATGATACATGTATGATACTCTTGTAAGATTGTGCAAGTGTGTAAAGCTTTGAGATTAGTTGTTTGCTGCAAAGAGTTAGAGACTCTAATGGCGAAGGATCCACCATCCACCCGTCGTTGAAATCTCAGTAGCCCACCGCTAGGTGGCACACCGTAGTCGCTACAAACGCACGTAACCACGAGCTGCTTCGTGTCTGGTATGAAACCACCTTTGAAGCGCCTCAAAGAATAAGCAGCTACAAGCAGATGATAGAAGCTTTGGGATTTCCACGGTCGTCGTTGGTATCTCAATTTGTTACATCTTGAGCATGAGCTACCTACCGTTTTGGGGCTGCGTCGCGTTAGGGGACGTGGTGCTGCGTGGCGGTTTATAATAAACAATCTACGAAACTTCAACTCACCTCAAGCTTACGCTTATATCTCGTCATAATTATTCAAACGAACGACATTGCACACGAACAATCAATTTGCACTGAGATGGGAGCTATCAAAACAAGCTCATATTTTAATGAAACGAGATAAAACTGTGAAATAGTATTATTTTGCAATTAATGGGGTGTCCTGATCTATAACTGAATAAAGACGTCATGTCTTCAAATCCTCTCATACTAGTCAAGCTGAAAGACACTTCATAATATGTAAAATGACCATTTTACGGAACTCTTCTCAGTTGAGGACAAAAAAAAAGAAAGTATCGCAGTTGCTCTTGCCAAAAACTCTCGTGGGTCAGACAAATCTCGCGATTTATTTCTCGTAGCCTAGTGTCTATCGACAATAAACCTACCAAATCTCATATTTTGTATATTTTGTAGATTATCGTGTTGCTGTCTGAGCTATCTTCTTTTTAAGTTGTTTTTATATTGAATATCGTGAAGCTTTATACAGACACCACAAGGCGGCTGTACGACTTAACCTATAAGCTTTCGATCTATAAGCTCTGTGTGAATGTTTTGTCTGCAAACGCGTGATAACACTGTTTATATAACTCTCCAGTTGCATTCGGAAAACATACATAAGAAAATGCGTATTTTCATTTCATTTCATGCGTATTTATTACCTAAAGTTACGTGACTCAGGCATCGCTAAAATTTATCGCATACTATATGGAAAATTTTATTCAAATTTCATCTTAATACACAGAGTACAGTTAGAAAATCCCATCCTTTTCCCCTACATAATGCAAGGACGAAAATAAGTATAACTGCTAAAATTCCGTACATAATTTACTATAAAATATAGTTGGAAAACTCTGTGAATAAGTCAGAAAAGTATGTTTAACGACCGAACTGGAGCGTTGAAATAAATTTCCGCTGCTGGAAAAGGAAGAAAACTTGTGCCTTTGTAAGAATGAACTGTGTTAACTACTTAAATTTTATCGGATACGATAGGGACTCCTGTATGCGGTTAAATTACAGATTAAAGAAGCAGAGGAAAAAAAACAATATGTCGTACTGTTACACTGGTTGCTAGTTGTAGCAGGATACTTTTTCCTTCTTACATTAAAAAAAGAAATGAAGCAAGTTGCTTAGTGTCTATAAAATATCTTTGCAATTTTACTACACGTTATGAATTCACATAACAACGAACGAAAGACAGGTGAAAAAAAAATCAAATCACCGGAAATGAGTACTTGTTATTATTACAATAATTATTATAATGATAGTTATAAACTTTATTTATAAATAAACGATTAAGATATTGGGATTCTTTCAATTACGATCTACCAACTTCCTTGCACACTATAGGAATCCTTGTGATTAGAATAGAAACGTTGCATACAGTTCGCTAATATTATTTGCTTTGTATGTAATTATTGCAGTGTGCTGCTACGCTTCGTATAATTAGTAATTATATAACTTCCCTCCATTTCCTTGCAAATTCCCCTTTAATTTCCCTTAATTTCCTGGTAAAGTTCCCATTATTTTCCCTTTATTTCCTACTACAATTCCCATTAATTTCCTTTCATGCGGCAACTTATGCTGGCCGATTTGTCGGTACGGTAGCCATCTCGTAGGCGCAGAACTGCCCCTAATACGCGGCAACTCGAACTGACCGTTTTGTTAGTTCGGTTTTCATCTCGAAGTTGCCGCGTATTGGATTGCACAACGACTATGTTCGATAAAATGATACGTGAAGAACTAATTGCAACTGTAATTGTATTAATTACTACTATTTCTTATTACATATCATAATCAAATAATAATTTAAGAATTTTATTATAGAAAATATATCGTTATTAATATTTTTTGTATTTGAGTTTTGTTTTGACTAGCACAGTTGGGACAGAACCACTGTTATTTGAAAGAATCGCGGGACACGTTCATGTTGGCAACATTGTCTGTCAGATGATAACAGGAAAACTCGCTTTAGATGCAAATTCAGTGTGGATCAAAATGGCCAAAGGATGACAACATACGGCTCTCAATTTAAGGAGAGAGTCGATATTTTGAAGAGAATCGAGGGAAAATGTCTCATATCCAGTATGTGGACGAACTGGTCAAAGAATACTTGCTCTTCAGAGGTTTCAGCCAAACCTTGAAAACTTTCGATAACGACTTAAAAGCTGAGAAAGAGAAAGGCTTCAGGGTAAGGATGAAAGAAAGCGCGATACAAAGAACAATATATACAAACAACAATGTTTCACGAACTTGTCTGTCAAGAAAAATATCGTTATAAGAAAATCATCTAATACTATCCCATTATCAACTTTAAAAACAATAATGTTTACATTATTTACAGCTTTGTTATTATCTCTGTTGTTACAATGAAGCCCATTTAATATTCTCTTAGTGAAAATATTTGTTTGTCTCTTATCAGGTTGACAAAATTGTTGATCAGCTGATGCAGTATGTGTACAGTTATGACTTGACATCCTTGAGGGAACTATGGGGACATTTAGACACAAGAATGTTTTCTCGATTGGAAAGTCACTTTGCTCCAGCTGTCCGTAAACTGGAGAATGCTGTTTTGAAGATGTATTTGGTAAATGCAGCCTTGAACAACAAGCAGGATCGGATTCAAGAGTTTTTCACAAAAATGACACCCGAATTGCAAGGGCATTCAGAATGGAAAGAATGGTTTGGTAGGTTGTATTGAGTAAATGTTTAGGAATTAATACATATTAACATTGTATTTCCTGTGTTACAGCATTGCCATTTGTTAAAAATCCTGAAGACAATCCAGCATACTCTGTACACTTTAGTAGACAGTGGCAGGACACTATGTTACTGTCTCTACACAATTTCCTTGCTACTATTTTTCAAGTAGGTGAAAGGTATTTTAGACTCTGAGTCTCACGTTACAAACTTTATCGTTTTAATATCGTATAGAAATCTCGATTGCCAGTTGTGATTGTTGCCATGAAACTATGGCAAAAAACTGTTGAATAATTTAATTATTAATATTGTAATGTTACAGTGCATGCCACTACCAACACTGCTCACGATAGACGAGGATACAAACAAGTTAAAACGATTGCAAGAAGAAAACGAAGTGCTGAGACAGCGTTTAAGCGACTCCATTAAAATAGATAATGTAATGGATGTAAATCCAGGACCAGCTCCTCAACATCCACCGATTATGGATGATTTTTATATTATAGCACAGTAAGTATTCTATTTATTATTAGAAAAAAGTATATATTTCCATATTTGCTAACGCTCTGTTTTCACTATTTCAACAGAGAATCTCCCTTATTAGAAAACCCCAAAACCCTAAGGAACCTTATAAGAAATATAGGCGGTGGTTCTAGTCCAATTTTAAACAGAAAGTCCGCAACAAACGTAAAAAAAATCGCAGAACCTGAAATGGCGTCATCTTCGAAGAGAACGAACACGAAAGGAAAATTAAGTTCCATCAGTAAGTCCGAAACTGTTAGCAAAAGAAGCATTAGCTGTGATTCAAGATTAACTAGCTCTAGGAAAAGGGATTCGTCTATCGACGCGGTGGCTGAACGCAAAGCCAAAGATAAGATCGATTCCACTTACATTCTCCTCAGCCAGGTGAAAGAATATTTAATTGCATAGCGGATGTTTTACATATTTCACGTAACAAGAAACAATTTGTAGGAAGAGTACACGGAGCATAAAACATCGATAATACAATGTAAAAGTAATGCAAGCGGTTCGTACGTCGCTACAGGCGATGCAGATGGCATCATCAAAGTGTGGACTCCGATACCATCGCCAAAGTAATTATTTCAAATATTTATATCATAATACACACGTTTGTTTAATACAGTTTGCGTTAATCTAATTGTCTTATGTTGAATAGGACTGTTACTACATACAACTCTGCCACAGCAAACTCAAACAAAGCCATAACAGCATTAGATTGGATATCGAAAAATGAACGTTATTTTTTGCACGGTGACAACAATGGCTTGATTCAGTTACACGATACCCGCGATTGTAAAACTCTGTGGGATATTCAACACGAAAATTCTCGTATCATTACTTTGCTCTGTAACCCTGCAGAATCCACGTTCGTGTGTTCCGTATCAGACTCGAACGAAGGGAGACTGCTATTGTACGATATAAAAACGAGAAAATTGGAAAGAACATTGCCAATGGAGCAAAACGTAACTGCTCTGTGTTCCGCTTTTAATCACAATGGACAACTGCTTATTACCGGATTAAGTAATGGGAATATTTTAATACATGACTTGAGACGGAACGAAATTATTGATAATATCAGTTGTCACTCGAGTCCAGTGATCGATATAGAACTTATCAATGATTACACGAACATTTGCACGCAAAGCGAAGACGGGAAACTGTGTCAGAGGAGTTTGAATCATTCTGGGAAGATTTTATGGGAAACAAAGATTAAAGTGGAGAAAAATACTGTCCATGGAAAATTGTTCACTTTCGACCAAAGCGGCAATTACATGCTGCTCTGTACACAAACTGGAGGAAACATATACAAAGTACGTATGCAGAACTTTCTTAAGAGCTAGTCATTTTTAAAATAACATCGAAATTTTACTTAGATGCCACCTGGCACGCAGGCGAAAGTCTTAGAATTAGGAGGACACAAAGGTACGCTGTGTTGCGACTGGTCTACTGCCAATCAATCTGGGACTTGTATAACGGGTGGCGCTGAAGGGAAAGTACGAGTATCCACGTTGCTTTCACCATGATACAGGAGTAAAATTAGTATCTGCGTGAATTCATAAAACGACGATACAGTTCATAAGATTAGCTCAAATTTGTAGATACTAAATAACTTAGCATATTTTACTTTAAGAAAGGGTTTTAGAGTCGTACTAAACGAAGGGATCTTACGATACTCCATGAAAGTGATACGTTCGTAATATCGTTAAATTAAGGGGAGGATCCGAGTATTTTATGAAAAGTACAATGAATATAAACGTATCATTATAACAAAGCCAATTGTATTATAATCTTATCTTATAAATTCGAATCAGGGACTATGAATTGTAAAATACACGGAAAATACTGTAACTGTACTTGTATAAAAAAAAAAAAGGGATACACACGATATCTATAAATGTCACGGTATGAACAGATCACATGACTGGAAAATTTTGTAAAAAAATAAAATTATACTAATTTGTGTAGTAGTGGTCATGCGTAAACCTAAGATTAGAAACCTAAGTTATACTTGTAAGAGGTACATGAACATGTCAATAAACATTGGTCAATTTTAAAATATCCGCTAAATATTTTTAGCGTAAAATACTGGTAAAACATTACAGATTTGATCTTCTTGGTAGGAGGTAATAAAATATATGTATATGTCTTGTTTGTGTTACGAAATTAATTCTTCTAGAAGTTAACAGCAAAGGAGCTTTAAATGTGGTTTTCTCAGCGACCAACGATTGAATGGCCCAGTCATATCTAATTGCGGAGACCAGTACCGCCTGAGAGCTTCGATTATTTCTGCAGGTGTTATCGGTTTTGTTACAGCAACCTAACGAACAAAATAAACATAAGTGTTCCTCTACTTTTCTATTTAAAATACTTTAACTTATTTTTCTAGCGCTAAAAAAATAATACAAACCTTGCCGTGATAATATGGTTTATAAGTACACGGATTTACGTAACTAAGTCTGAGTCGATCTATAGAATCTCCGTAGATCTTATTTTGGTCTTGTCTGACTAACAACGCTAAATCTACAATTTGCGCTACCACTTCGTATGCTAAATATCCTAAAATTGTATACCCTTGTTTCGATATTGTTACATCGCCTGAAAGATTTGGAAAATCGTATTAATATTCAAAACTGTAACTATAAAGTAATAGCTTATTATTGTAATACTTACTGTCTGGTAAGAGCCAGTCGCTGAATTTGTGTCGATTTTTGTTCGCGAAAGATGCATTACGTGCTTTACTAAATTTTAAGTATCTGGCTTCGTCCATGGAACGCGTCATGATTTCAGCACGGATGCATCTCTGTTGCTTGACTTCATCCACAGTGGATGTATCTTCGAGAAGTTCGCCGGTATTGTCAATCTGGCTGAGAAACGAATGATATGGTCCTTTATGTTTGGCTCCTTCTAGATGTTCATTGTTCATAATATCCTCGGGTAGATCGCTTTCTATTGCTCTGTGCAAGGAGGACTTATACTCTTTCAATTCTGTAAAACAAAGGAGGTATAGAATATTAATGAAGCTTTGTGTTTGTAGGATTTTAATATGTGTACTGTTTACTTGCCTATATATCTCAGCACCCGCTGTAACTTTACTTTATCCTTGCGCAATAAAAAGATTAAGTCTTCTGCATTAATACAGGAGCCCTTCTTTGAATTCTCACGTCTATAAGAAACTTCGCATGCCTTCTTCACGATTGTTCTCATTTGCTGTAAAACAACTTCTTCCACAATTTTTGCAGATTCGATTAACGGATCGCTACTGTCCCCGAATCCATGCATCATTTGACGAATTTCTGTAAACAATCACATTTACATTGTACATATTTATATTTATACGAAATAGAATTTTAATTTTTCTAATGGTTTTTAGTCAATTAATCAATGATTGAAGGGCTTACAGTATTGCAAAATTTATTGTTAAAGTTTAATGTTGTAAATACCTGTAGTGTAATTCATAGATTCGCTTCGAGCAAATTGAGAATCATTCGTCGACTTTGAAAATGATGATTCGGTCATTGTTGAGAGAACTAGTTATTTAACCTTGCTTTAAAATAATAGGATAAACACATCGGAAAACATTCCACAAACAAACAATGACAGGTGACGAGTGTCAAACGTGTGCAATTCTTCAGGTTAAGGTGTTACACATGTCATATAATAAATGTCATTGATCATTACATTCAGTTTAATCAAATACAAGATGTTGCAAAAGATCTTGTCTATTTTAATAGCACTGCATATTTTGTATAAACAATAAAAGGAGTTTATAAGGGAAGCTATGTGTTTGACTCTTACAACAAAAGATTATTCGTTTGTTTTGGAATACCTCTCAAGGTATTTCCTCTATCGGGAAAACGCCCAAGTTTGTCCTCGAATAGTTCTCACTGTCAACGCTAGATGGCGCCATTCTTTACTTTTATAAAATAAATAAAGCGTTATATATCCAAAAACAAACAACAGAACAAGCATTGCAAAATTAAAATACGGATGAGAATCATTTTTCAACCCTTAATTCTTTATTTTTTTAATAAATGAAACAAATGGCGCCATCTACCGTTGGCAGTAGGTTGGGTTTTTGGAATCCAACGTAAAATAAAAAATGTTTTCATACATTCAAATATTAATTTCTCAATTGAACAACCGACATAATGACAACAATAGCAGATTCTCCTTTAAGTTTCCTTAAATGTAATGGAGTAATTCCATTTTTAACTTGTAATAAATAGCTTCCAAGTATGATCCTGATTTTTCTGTTTCGTTTTTTAGCGTTAACGTCCTGCTTATCCAACACAATCGATGTCCATTCTATTATTTAAATAATGTCAATAAATGTATAAATAAACAGTAACACATCGTTTCAATCTGAAGTTATCTAATACCAGCTCTAATACCTCGAGAATCGTGTTATAAAAAAGAGGGAAAAATGGCGGATAACGATGTAAATGGTGATTCCGATGAAGTTCAGCAAGAGAAATCACAGAAAAAGGCAGCGAAATATGACAGCGGTGCTGCTGATTTAGAAAAAGTCACAGATTACGCAGAGGAAAGAGAAATATCTTCGTCTGACGGATTCTCATGCGTGAGTGTTTTATGCTATTCGATACTCCACGTGTTTACAATTGTCAATAACAACATTCAATTTAATTTTATTCAAAATATATATTCATACTTTAAAATTTTACTATATATATTTCTTAATTTCTTCTATACGCGATTTAATATTCACGTTATACTTACCAAAAAGAACTTACAACTTGTAAAACGTAACCTCCAAACGGTGTACACAGTTGTGTACAAACTATACGATTTATTTATTACAATAAATTCATTTATTTTAGGCGTTGAGCATAATTGGCGATCGGAGGAATAAGGAGGCCGCGGAAAAGAAAGCACGAGAAAAGGAATTGCAAAAAGTTCCTATTAATAAACAAGATGTTGATCTCATTGTAAGTCAGAGTATGATTACTGTTAGTTATTCTTATGTAAACAAAACTCATTACTTTCTACAAGTTTTACACTCTGGTAAGAGATTATTAGATTATCTATTTTCTTTTTAGATGAAAGAAATGGAAATAAGTCGAAGTGTAGCGGAACAAACACTCAGGGAACACAGAGGGGACGTTGTTGAAGCATTAATTACATTAACGAATTAACTGTACAGCATGAACTCTAAACACTTACCAAAATCTCAATTATATTGTACATTATACGGTCTTAGGAATTGTTGACTTTGGGTTATTAATATTTATTCATATATATTACAAAATATATTCTAAGTGATTCTGTATGTCTTTTGTTATTCTACCTGTTGATGCAAATACCTAACGGTTCTTTAACGAAAATGGTTTTTTATGTAACAAGGAATTGAGGGATATTTAAAATACAACGTAAACGTATTAAACACTGATTATCCATGTTATCAGGAAGTTTCCTTGAGATAAGATTGTAATCATACGTGTAAGAGCATTGAACGTTTCACTTTAAACCAATATGTTTATCTGTTTGCGAGGATTGATCTTCACGCACGAATTATTGACTTCGCGTCCGTTGTGCTCGAGTGATAGTACCGTGGTATTATCAATGTTCTTTTACATCACCTCGTCAATTTTTGTATGTAACAAATCCGTGTTGTGCAATTATTTATCATGATCACAGTGAGTGCAATAATTACTTCAGGTAAAATATGACAACTCTTACCTTGTTGTACATTCTTAGTGTTTGTGACACGCTAAACACAATGTTCTTTATATTTACAGAACTGAATACTTCATTGCTTCAGAATTCAAACGATTATCAACACAATGAGACTGAAATTTATGTTATAGATCCATCTAGAACTGAGAAATATAGTAAGATCAAACCATTACATTTACTTCTCTAACTACCAACAATTTTTCATGTACAAAAAAGGTCAAATTTTTCTTTTGTAGTGACAAGAGATTACTCGATGTCGATTGCACAAACGATTATATTTTTCTTATTTGTGTGCGGTATTTTTTTTGCAATTGTAATGTACTGCAAAGTATGCAGCAGGTAAGCGTTTCATCCGTGACTGATTGTTCTTTCAAATGAAAAAGAAAACAAGATATGCGGCTACTAATTTTACGAAGTAATGTAAATATCGTTAAACAGTATTTGCAGGGCATCTGAGTTAAGTTATAACGAGCATAGCGTATGCCAAAGTACACGCACCTGTGCGAATGTAGACTATGATTCGATGCGATGCTTCACGATTGTAGAATCAAGTGAATTAAGGGATACACCACCATCGTACAACGAAGCTTGCAGTGTTCCTCCTCTTTATGGACTGTCTTCTAACAGAGTACGTTGAATTTCTACCTTCAAGTAATTAAAATTACGAATAACGTACATTGAGCGTTATTCGTATTATCTTTTATTGTCCTACCAGCTGGTGACAGATAAATCTGTATCGTAAAATATGTCATGTGGCGTGTGGCCTCAGTTTTACGAATATAATAAATAAACAATAAACTTGTAATACGCTTTTATGTGAAAAAAAAATTGCAATATCAATTATACTCCACGTGAAACGAATAGAAGCTTATTCGAATAATCGTTCAATTGGATAAACATTTCGGGTGAATCACGATTTTTATCTGTTGTTTATTGTTCGAATAAAATGCCTATCTTTGTATAGATTTCTATTGTTTGAACAGAATGCGATTGGTTAAGCACAGTATCCCTTCCCTTTAATTGTCATATAGCATAGCTATATGGAATTGTTTTACCGATAAGAATATATAACACAAGAGAAAAAGTCATGTTTTCTCTAAAAATAGCTGAAAAAACTTGGTATAACTGTATAGATATTTTTTCAGATAGTTGTCCCTGAAGCTCCACCAGTATATTCAGAAACTCCAAAACCAGAGGACAGAGTATGTCAACCAACTAATCCAGGCTTTTCAGTTGCGCATCATGTTTGATATGTTGTAATTACTGAGTGATATTGTATAAATAAATTTAATTTTAATATTAGCCAAATGAACTATTGTTTCTTTACCTCGATTAAAGGAATTTTAAAGTTTGCCTTGAGGTAGAAGATTTTAACGATTGATACTAAGTGTAGGAAGCTTCTTCAAGGGTTAAAGGACACGCTGATACATCAGTGCGATAACCTAATGTTGTAGCTACCCCTGAATGAAGTTAGATGGAGGTAGGTTTGGATTATGATAAAGTTAAGTCTACACTGATACATCGACATATCAAGAGCCCTGAAGAAACTAGTAGAGACTTGAAATATCTTAGTCGTATGTTTTTTTTTTTTTTATTTTTAATCAGGGATAATGAAAATCACGTAAAAGTTCTCATGATTATATAATGAAAATGTCATTTATTTGATGTGGTGCAATGACTTAAAGTAAATGGAAAAATGAACGTTTGTATGAGCTGGGTTCGATGAACAGCAGCCGTGTACTTCGAGAAGCTACCACTGCTGAACTATTCGTTACAAAAAGCTTTCGAGTTTAAATGCAATATACAACGGAAGTGTGTATCAGACAGCAACGCAGTAGTAGCTAGCGCGACACGAACATGCTGATTTTCATGATGAGGTAACACTTGTCTTACTTGTACTTAGTTTATCAAATTATCCAGTCATACGCTCATGCAAATTGGTTCAAAGAATTGCATCTAATATTTTTTCGAACTGTCGTACAGATTAATATTAGTTTCGACTTTTTTTCTTTTTTTTTTTTTAGGAAAAAGACATTCAACATTACGAGTTTCATGAGATATTCGCCGCACAGTCCCAAAGATAGAATGGGTAGAATGGACGTAGATTTTCTTTTCTTTTTTTTTTGTTTCTTCATCTGTTCAAATTTTAAAATCTGAGCGAGCACGGCCAAAATCTGTTCCTTAAATCGCTTACATTTATTTTTTGCTATTTATTTTCCCCCACGTATTCTATCGTTTCGATTAAGCTCTAACGATCTATGACTGAAATAAACATCGTGTAAAAAACGGTGGAAAATCGTTCCCTAACTATGTTTCTCATAGGATCCATTTTTTTGTTGTTGTTTCCTTTATCACTTAATCTCGATAGAAACACATTCGCGCCGTGGTAACGACGAAATGCACGTAACATGTCGAGATCAGTGGGACACAAATACGTTCTAATCGTATTAATTTGTCTGTTATTACATATTACATTTACTTAAAGCATTGCTAGTGTTTCAAGGAACATGAGTTTAGCACAGTCTGTAAAATAGAATAAATTATAGTTGGTTATTGTACCCTTCATAAAAGTATGGTTCCATTCGGTTCAGTTCTTATAAAATACAGTAGATATGTACAGTAAAAATCTTAAAATCGAAAGGGACGCTAGATTTGGGACTGTCCGGATTAGCGACCGTTTCTTAAAAGATAAATTCACTGGCTGCCAGGATCGTCAGAAGTTCTAGAAAGGTTGTGATACAATTGCGGTAATTACAGTGGTCTTATCACAGAACATGTATGGCATTAAATCGTCAATATCATTACTCCTGTAATGGTATGGTATTTCTCATATTTAAAACATTCGGTAAAGCTAGGTCGCAGGATCAGGAAGCCAGTACAGTACTAAATGATGATTATTGTTTGCCTTCTTGGTTGCCCATAATTCAGATCATTGACCACACGAATTCGCAATTCATTAATTAATTACATAAAAAACGATTAATATTTTTTCGTTCTATATAATTGACTAACTTTTATTTATACAACTTCTTAGATTCATCCATCATCTCTCGTTTTTTTTTTTTTTGTTTGTTCTCATTTTCGTGATTCGCCCCATTATTTTCTTTCTAATAACGTGCCATCGACTCATTTAATGCGGCTCTCGTAACATCTCTAATTAATACATGTATCCTGCGCACAAGTACGATAGACATTTCAATAATAATCAACATAAAATTCGATAAATTATGGACAACCCTAAATTTAATACAATAATAATAATATAATAATAATAATAATAATAATAATAATTCGAATCTATCACTTCTTCTACTATGCAATACTCGAGAAAACAAAACAAACTGTGCCTAGTGATAAAGGGGGGGGGGGAGAGAAAAAGGCCGCATTAGAGGGAGGGGGACGTAGGGCGGTATCTGCAGACAAAAAATATACAAAAATACGGGGCACAGATTGCGTAGCATTAATAGTAATCATAGTAGTAGTCGTACATGTTGAGAGAAAGAGATCATAAAAAACACTAACTAGAATCATTTTCTCCATTCCGGAAGAGTTTGACGTTCATCATTTCCTTGTTTTTATATAACTAAAAATCACTATCGGTAGTAAACATAGTATCTAACTTTTCTCTTGCTCGTTGCACAACGAACAAGCGTGGGACATCGTTTGATCCGTTTCATTTTTTTTTTTTCTTTTTCGACAAAGGAACAAAATGTTTTAATCGTCTGGCCGACGTCTATCACAACTTCCTTCGTGCATTGTGTCTCTCTCTGTGTGTTTATGTACGTGTATATCTGTGTGTATGCGCTTCGTGTACGTGTAATATGTATGTTGTAGCAATTTCAGCGAGTTTCAATCTCGCCTTGGTCCACTGGCTGCTTTTATATCTTTCAATACGGATGGTTTAGCGATTCCAGATTATCCTCTTGTGGTAGAAACGAAAGCAAATCCATGAGTGACCCTAACGATGCGCATTGACAAATCGCTGACAATTCAGTGGCATTGTAGAATGAAAACACACGCACAATGCAAAAAGAGTACCATGTCGTGTCCCGTTGTCCAAACCCTGGTTCCAACAATTCATTATCATTATCATCTTAATTTTTCCCCTCACACCCGTCGTGTTCCCCACTACGTTCTGTGATAGACACTTCTCCTCCAATGTCGACGACTCACTGAATTACAAGAGAATCTCTCTCCCTGAGCACAATCTATGCTTTCTTCTTGCTCCGAACTGGCCGAACCGGTTGCCCTTCCCCGTGAACCACTAACACCAGCATGAAAACCATGAGATAGTCCCTTCGACGCAGTTCCTTTCGAGTGGACCAGAGGATGGCGCACTAGGAAACATTTATTTAGAACACTACTCGTATCACTGTACACAAAAAGTCATGAGGGATGCAAAATAGGCGGGGGCGATGTGGAGGTCGTGCCCGGAGTTAACGGTGACTGTTTTCAGCTCTGTTTCACTCGTTTCCTGGGCGGTCCGATAGGTGGTATCTGTTGGGTGGCCAATGCTCGAAACGCTTCCGCTATGAGATGCGGATGAGAGTTCACCATCGACTTGAAACCTGCCGTGTCCATCACGTCTGTCGCGTGTCTGAAACAAAAAAAAAAAAAAAAACGTGCAACTTCAAAATACAATTCTTCCAGTGGTTTTTCGTTCGAACCCCACACAGAGACACAGAGAATCAAATTTAGCGGTTCTATTTGTTTCATCAGTAATTTTCTATTAAAAATTAGGTTGCGTCCTTTGGATGACGGTCTATAAAAGGGTTAAGTGTAATATTTCAATTATTGGTAGAATAATCACTGATAAAGCAAACGAAGGCATTACATTTTATTCGTATTTGTCGAATTACGACATCAAATTTTATACCACAATGAACAAAATTATTTTCCGCTCGAGTTCGAACATTTTCTAGGCTATCCGCGTCCCTCCGTCTCCAAAACGAAAACTTACGTATTAATGAAGTCTATGGCTTGCGCCTTGAGTTGATCAGCGCTATGAAGATCAGCAAGAATGAGGATATCGGCTGCGTTCTCGATGGCTAAACTCGTGCACAGTGCTTCCTCGCACATTACCTTCAGCCTCTCTAACGCGTATTTATCCGCCGCCGCCAGCAAATCGTCCGCCATTTTTTCCAGATTCGCCGCCTTTCCCGTGTAAATGAATCGCAGCATTTCCCTTAAAACCTCGTGGTCCACGTCGGTGATGTCCACGCGGTTCTGTTTCCTCTCCTCCATCTCGTGCTCGAACATCGCCGAGAAGACCGGACTTCGTGCTGGATAACGAAATCAAACGGTCAGTCACTTTGTGAATATTTGAGGTATTTGAGGTTTCGTAGTGCGATCGAAAAGGAAGAAAACGATTATTTGTATTTAAGGAGAGTATGGCTCGTGGTCATCTTTTTATAGTTGTCTTATTCAATTATCTCGAAAACTAACAGTTGTAGGTAAGAAGTACACTCTACGTTATCGACTTATATTTAAACAAAGAATCGCTTCTGTTTCGGTCGCATCACGATTTACGTTTGATTCGCGAACTTACCCGCAAGTATGGCTTTGTGCGCCTGAAATTCCCTCCCGCAGACCGTTAGCGTGACGTCGCTGAATTTTTGGTTTTCGAATAGTAACCCCAGGTCGTCGGGCAGCCGGCATTCCGGGACTTTGAATTGTATAGTGTTGCTCTGTCCAGAAATGTTCACGCTGTCCGCCACCACGCTGACCTGAAACGTTTCCAAGCGTTATAAATCTCGTCCAGGTACCGGCTAGCAAAGACGAGTATTAAACAATTAACATACAAAGGTATATACCTCACAGAATATCGTGAGTTTATCGTCGGGCAGGAGTCCGTTCGCCTCGTCCAAGAGGAAGTCTCTCCTGATGAACTTCTTGAAGCCCCAATCTTTACCTTGGACGAACCTGTAAGCACGTTGGCTCTCTGCAAGCAGAAAATTCAGACGCTTTATTACCCATGACCGACACGGAAACGCTTTTACCCCCGTGCAATGCCCGGGCGCGCAAGCACTCGATTTTAACGGTTTAATCTATCAACGCTGCTTCCTATCCCTTTTGAATCTTTCGAGGAAATTCTAAGGCGTGGAACAAAAAATATACGAGCGTAGGAGTTTGTTTTTAGTTAAATTTGTTAGGTCGAGTAAATTGCTTTCTAAAATTTTCAAAGCCCTCTCTTCTCTCTTTGTAATGGATACGAAATTTCTATTATTTTAAAAATGTTATTGTATATATAACTAATAGATTGTATATATAAGAAATAGATATTTATGTGATTATCAGCACAATGGTCAACGAGAATCTTGAAAATAGATTGTATGGTTACGGTTAATGTTAAACTTACCCATTGCTTTGGTTTCTTCTCTTTTGGCATTAAGAATAGAAAATTTGAACTTTGCTCTGACTTCTGATTTGTTGCACGAAACGAGAAGGAGATACAGAGACAGGTAGTCTTTGCTCTCCTCGTCCAGACCCTTAGGATTCACTCTTAGGCACCTAGAACCAATTACCGGTAATGTGAATTTCATGTCGGTCCGCGAGGACCGCGCTTCGAGATCCACGTACATCGTTTACTCTCCCGGTTCTTTTATTACTTTACTGCTCGCAAGAAGGTGTATAACGAAGTTTCGTATCACGGAACAGTGTATCAATATTAAATCACCTCCTCATTATTAAACGAGCATTTGATACTTGAATTAATTCTAGATAGGAAAAGAAAAATAACGCAAAACTATTTTTCTGCAATTTTTTTTATACAAAAAAAAAAATATACTACGTGTAAATATTGTGTTAAAAGTAGTTTAAAAAAAAAAAAATGTCGAATAGTTGTATCGAGGCAATATTTTTACCGTAGGAATAATTCAATAGAATGTTAATACAAATGAAATTAATTAATTGTGAGTTTAAACGTGAAAAATAGTTTATAAAATTCGTATGCAATGCAAAGATTCGCGAGCGAGGATTCTAATGAATTCGTGAAAGGTACTCTCGTCCCTTCAACGCGATTAGGTTCGCTGACAAACGGGTTTAATCAACCGGATCTTACCATTTTAATTTATCGTTGGCCCCTGCTGAGAAAGTGGACGACTTTAACACTTCTCCCATTTCCTCCCGGCAAAAGCTGAAGTTATTTATCGTCCACATGTAGCTGAACTTAACCACCTTCACCTGTGCACATAAGACCTTCAAATGCAACACCACGTCAGAGTGTGTCCCGTGGAAATTAGCTTAATTTATCTACACGCTAAGGGCTACGCGAAACGTTTATTCGGCGGGAACGGTTATCAGAGAAATTTCCTCCTGGTGGCATCCGGTCTCGAATATTTCAACACGTCGATACTCGACAATCCAACAAATAAAAACCTATAACTCGTAGTTTCACGAAAGAGATTATTATCAAACGCTCGAGGATTATACGTTGACGACAAACGAATTCTATGTTTGGCAAAAAGTATATCGCAGATTTTACGCATTTACGATGGAAATTAATTAGCTGTATGCGTCTACTCGAAACGAGTTAGTAATATTATTTTATTAATTAATGGATGTGTACTCTCCGTATGCTTTTCACATTAACGTAAGTCGTAAATGCATATCCTGAAAGATATTTTAAAACCTGTTGGATAAAATTAAACATGGCGCGCAGATCCACAGATAGGTATACAGGGTGTCCCAAAAGTCGGGGAGGAGCCGGAAACGGGGGGTAGCTGAGACGATTCTGAACAACAATTTCCTTTGCAAAAATGTCGGATGGCGCTTCGTTAAGGAGATATTAAGCGAAAACCCCGACCAATCAGAGCGC